AGTAGGGTTATCATTGCTTTTGATTCACCGAGGTCAATGACAAGCTTGCTTAAGGGACAGTTTAAATTCAGTGGCTACTGAAGCATGAAACATTCACTTTCTCCCATTCTCCATTGGCTTGGTCTTGCTAGTTCCCATCCATCCTGCTGTGCTTCTTCTGTGGCCCCTTGTGTCCTTGTGCAGGTGTCTGTCTCGTCCATCTGATCTTGTGTCTGTCTTGTCCAGTTCTCCCTGCAGTTTCTTCCTGTGTGTCTGTTTGTAGATGAAGGGGCTGAGGATCAAGTGGGCCCTCTACACAGTTTCCCCAGCCACGAACCTGCCACCAGCGGGGAGAGGCATAGACTACTAGCCCCCTCCATTTCGGTGTCTGTGCCTGATGATGACCCTTACAATTCCGATGAGGAGTACTATGAGCATCCTTTGTTCAGCTCAGAATGGACTGCCTCTAGTGTGCTCCCCAGTGTCACAGCGCAGAGTGCAGAGGCCCATTTAAGCCAGGAGAAAGGTGAACCGAGCATGGTCCCCTTTTGCTCCTCCTCCCCAGCCCGCAGCTTTGTCCACGTGCATCATACTAAGTGTGTCTTCATATGGAGGGTGGGAGGGGGAAGGAGCCTGCTTTTTCCACATGGAAGTGAAGTCCCTATATAGGTTGTGTCCATCCAAAAGCCTCAACACTATATGAAAGAAGCCTTCCTTGAGGTATGTGAGCACTTCTTTTTTCTCAATCATTGCTTCTGAGAAGGAAGAAAAAAATAAATAAAAGGAAGCAAAAATACCCCAATTAAAGCATGACTCCTTTCTGCTCGCTACTCACAGAGAGTAAGTCAGAGAAGAACATACTCTTACCCAAACAGAAGAAGATGACCCTTAATATTATTTTTTGTCTTCCTTGAATGCGTAATATTTCTAAGACCAGACTTCAATACAGTTAGTCCTCTTTTTAGTGCTATGTTAATGCTACTTACTGTAGCTCCTTAAAAGAGAACTACTGAAGAGTCTGTTTGGGCAAAATAAATGTTATGGAATAGATTTATTTCTCCAAATCACTTAATCATCTACAGAGAGTACAAAGGCTACCGCAGGTGACTGCATCTTGGCTCGAGCTAGGCTAAAATGAACAATATGATTCATAGCCTTCATCATCTTAGCCTCATAAAGCCAGGAAACCCTGGTGTGTAACTGGCTACGGGAAGGATAAAACAAGTGGGCGATAGCTGCAATTCATCTTATTCTAACTAGACAGTCTTGTAAGGAAAAAAAAGTAGAAAAAATTTTGCTTAGGTGAAGGGATTATTTTTATATGGTGTAATAATTAATGGAAGGGCAAATAGTTTCAAAGCAATGAGGAGTAAGCTCTCTGCTCACACACTGCTTTCGTGATCATAGACTTCTTCAAGGGTCCTTTTGAAAACAAAGAGCCTCAATGATTCAGACACTCTGGCAGAGAAATATAACCCATATTTGTAGGTAAACCAAGCTCTTGTGATAGTGTGAACTTAAAACAATGAAGAAAAATATGTAATTTCTTTTACTAAAGAACAGGTATAGTAGAATAAACATAATTTATACAAAATGAGAAAATAGAAAGCGAGAAAGTGACATGGATTTGGAAAACATGTAAATTAACTTGTTTAGACTTCATCCAGTAAGCTGACGTCAGTAGAACAGCTATGTTAAAAGTCTTTTAACTGTGATCAAAATTTCTAATTCTATGGCGTTATAAAAATTGCCTTAATAATAACAAATTCAAATCTGAAATTTTTTAAATGTCATTACCTAATTTAATTACACAAATGAAAGTGTCTGAGTGCTAAATATGAGGAGATAGATGAAGTAGTTCTCATTTTTTCTGCCTGAGGGTTTTAATATTTCCCACAAAAGAAAATTCCTTACCTAGCTATCTGTAGTGTCCCCCACAGGACCGTTTAAACAATGCACAGTATTTCATAGGAAACTTCAATCTGGGTAACTATCAAACAGCTTAAATTTTCCCCCTCTAATTTCATAAAGGATAAAATGTGATTTATTTTACTGGCATTTGAAGCATAAATGAGGAAAAAAATGAACAAAATAATTGATGAACCTCGTAAGTTTGTTTTTTACATTTTAAATGCTACCTTTTTTTTCTTGTGATTTGCACCTTTCAGAGGCTAATTTGGCAGTTTGGTTGTCACTCAATTGTTTCCTTGGTGATTTAATTTTGAATTGCAGAAATAAGACTTTATAGCTAATATGCACGTTTTCTTTCCTACTCAATGTCAAAGAGAACTATACATGAACTACATTACTGATATTTCAGGGATTTAAGCAATATGGTAAGAGTTGTGTCCCAGAGGTAGAATTTTCTAACTAGTAGGATTTAAATTTTACCTTGACCTTGTTTTTCAAAATACTTTACTTCCTCCTGAAAAATTTTCATCTTCTCCAACATCATATAACGCATTGAAGTAAAATAAATTGAGTTATGTAGTCTTTCACCCTGGAAAATAATAACTAAATTATATTTTAAATAGTCATGGTGGACTTTGTGATAAAGCTATTAAGGTAGTTGGCTGGATATTATTTTGAGGCAAGGCTTTTTTTATTCCCAAAGATTTCTTTAGCAAAGTTTGCATGTTTTAAATAGAGTGATCAGGCATTCTTATGTAGGGGCTTCCTGCATTGGAGAAAACAGCACATGTCTAACAAATTTCAAGGTTTTTTTCAGTGCATCAATGCATCCATCTATCTTTTCACAACCATCTGTTAGCCAGCAGCACCATCTCTTCTTCCCAGCAAGCTTTCCACATGTGTTCAGCTTACTGCCATTTCCACTAAGGGAAATAGAGCAATAAAACTCTTTCAGCTCTCAATTTTTAAAATAAACAGCCTTTTAATGAGAATTCAGAAGGCATCATTATTAACAGATTATACATAATAATTTTCCAACCAACACATAACATATGTTTCATAAGAATATTAATAGCCTCATCCAAATGGTGAAAGAAAAAAACCCCTGAGGTTCTCATTATAATGGAGCTGAAAGTGTTCCTTGGATAATATTTCTGTCGTTTTGTGTATTGTTCTGTGGTCATGATGTCAACATCTTTTTCATCCCTAAGAAGAAGAAACGCTAGAGGGTCTCATGGCTGAGGAAGAGAAACCTGCTGCTCTTCCTGGGAGAGAGTGTGGGGCTCCTAAGTCCTCAGACCAACCCAAGGACCTCAGTGAGGGCCACGTGGAGTCTAGTGAGAAGGCCAAAGTAGTTCCTGAAGAGAGTGCCCCAGCAGGGGCCCCACTTGAGAAAAGTGTAAAGGAGATCACAGAGGTGTCTCCGGAAGTAAAAACTCCTTCCTCTGCCAAGGAAGGTGTGTCTTTCTTAGGACTTGCATGTGTTTTGTTGCAAATGATCTCTCTAGCAGCTTATCAACCTGATGCCTTTTCAACGCTATTTCATCGCTCGGTCTTATGATCACAAGACCACTGTGTTAGGCTTACCGAGTAGTGAGTGTGGCTTGCGCAGATGCTGTACGACAGCTTGGTTTTTCACTGCTGTAGCTGTTTTCTGATTTTACTTTGCCATGGTACAATACGCTTTGCAGCCAGGCTGATGATGCTATGTGACCTTTTTTTATTTTTATTTTTTTTTACTCATCTCAAATGTTTGCCAGTCACATTGCTAATACATGTCTATGTTTATTTTTATTTTTGGGACAGCAATTCACATGCTTTTCTTTCAAATCATAGAGTTGTTGACTTGGACTTTGGCACATAGAGGCTTAATGGTAGAATCGTTTTTGTTTGCAACCACAACGTGCTATCTTTTTTATGCTTCAATGAATACTGGTTTGGTTTCCTTAAAAGCTCTTGCTGATGCTTCTCATATCATTTCCTCTTCATGGCAGCCAACTCCTTTTGATCATCCCCATATTTCTTAAGTTTTCATTCATCTAATCTTTATTACAAGTTCATGAAGTATTTCTTTTCTATTGTTACAACAGGACACACAAGTATATAAGGTAATGATGATCCATACACTTGCTCTTCGAGAGATGGTTAATTTTATTATTTTTCCTCAAATCGTTTCTAAATGATTACCTTTAGCCCTACTGACCACAGAGAAATACCCTTAACTTTAAAACACAAGTCGGACTCTGAAGCCTTTCGGATTGGTGAATGAAAAATAAATAAAAATTTGTCATTCAATTTCTGGGAAGCATTTCTAAAGCCATTACTAGGCAGTGCTTCTCCAGTTGGTCGAGTTCCAGGGAATGAGGTCATGACCATGGAGAGAAAAGTATATTAGTAATTGATTCTTTTAAAAATGTTGTTACTCTACTCATACAACTTTCCAGTAATAATAATATAATTTGTATTTTCTTAAACCTATATGCAGATGAGAATTGAATGAAATTTAAACATTGATGTTGTATAAAACCTCCCGATGCCCAAAAAATTGGTCCTGGCATTTGCTGATCAGGTGATCCTGAAACTATTGACATTCATATCATTATGAATTAATTGGCCTTCTGTCCATGGCCTGCCAATTAACTTTTAAATGAGAAAACAAATGAAAAAGTTAGTAAAAATCAATTCTTACACATATTTAGTACTTCAAATGTATTCTTTTGTACCCTATATTAGGTACTTATTCAATATTCCTTAGTTTATCATTTTTATCTCTGAAAGGCACATGAAATTTTTTCTACTAAATTACACATCATATAATGTTTAGGAGAGACAAAAAGTAAGCAAAGAAGATGGAAGAGTATTCAAAAGTATACTCTTATTACAATTACTGTACTCATTAATTTACAATGGGAGTTTATTTTAGCAATAATTCATGTATATCTCAGTCCTGACATTTTCATATTGATTTTTAAATGGGTGGCATGCTTGCATGTTTCATAGTTTTTCTTTTTTACACTACCATTCATTTATCATTTCAAAATATAGTTTTAAGCTTACTGCCTGAAAGCAATTGCCTATTATCTGTTTAAAAATCCACCCAATTACTTCAGATTTATTTACAGCCTTGAAGATGGAGTTCCATGATCAACAGGAATTGAGTCCTTCTACAACCGAGCCATTAGACCAGAAAGCAAAGGAGTCAGAAAAGCAAAGTAAGCCTGGTGAAGACCTTGAAAATGCTGCCTTAGTTTCTCAGCCTGAGACGACTAAAACATCCCCTGATGAAAAGGACATACAAGGCAAAGAAGAAGAAAAAGTACCTCCCAGTCTATTTGGGCACACTCTTGATGCTAGTCCAGAAGACTTAAAACAGAAGACAGAACCAAGCCTAGTAGTACCTGGCATTGGCATCCCTGCAGAGCCTCCAGCTCAAAAAGAGCAGAAGGACTGGTTCATTGAAATGCCAATGGAAGCCAAAAAGGATGAGTGGGGTTTAGTTGCTCCAGTATCTCCTGGTCCCCTAACACCAATGAAGGAAAAAGATGTGCTTGAAGATATCCCAAAATGGGAAGGGAAACAATTTGACTCTCCCATGCCAAGTCCCTTTCAAGGTGGAAGCTTCACTCTTCCTTTAGATGTCATGAAGAATCAAATAGTTGCAACAACATCACCCTTCCCTCCTGTCCTTTTACAGCCAGATAACAAAAAATCTCTGGAAGAAGCCAGTGGCCCAGAGACTGCCAAAGATACTTCCAAAGTTGAAGAAACCCTTATGGATAAACCTGACAAAACAGCAGAAACACCAACCTCAGTGGCAATTACCTCACCCAAGGACACTGACATTCCTATTATGGAAGAATGTATCACAGAGAAAGTTTCAGGGGAAGAAAAGGGGGCTATAAAGGAAGAAAGTATGCAGAAAGAAGAGACTTCCACCCCCAGTGGACAGGAACCTGCGCTTACTGAAAAGGAATCTCAGCTAAAGTTTGAAGAAAAAATTACCATCCCTGACAAAGAAGCTGTGCCAAAAGACAGCGAACCTCCAAAACTGACAGATGATGAAACAGGCATAATTCAGACCACCACAGACCATACTGTCTCAAAAGAAGAACAGAAAGGTCGAGAGCCTACCACAGATATGTTAAAACAGGACTCATTCCCTCTAAGTCTGGAGCAAGCAGTTACAGATTCAGCCATGACCTCTAAAACATTGGAGAAAGTGTTGACTGAACCATGTGCACTAAGTGAAAAGAGTTCAATCCAGGAACTATTTGAAGAGAAAGTTGCTGACAAAGATAAGGTCGAAAGGGTCGGGGCTGCAACATCATCTGAGCTTGACCTGCCATTTTATGAAGATAAGTCAGGGATGTCCAAGTACTTTGAAACATCTGCCTTGAAAGAAGAAGTGACAAAAAGCATTCAGCCAGGCAGTGATTACTATGAACTGAGTGACACAAGAGAAAGTGCCCATGAGTCTTTTGATACTATATCTCCCATGTATAAAAATGGTGAGGAGGAAATTCAGGCAGAAAAAGAACACCAACCCCATGCTGCAGCACAAGAAACAGGGTACAGCACTCTTGCACAGAGTTATCCATCTGATTTACCTGAAGAACCCAGTTCTCCTCAAGAAAGAATGTTCACTATTGATCCAAAAGTGTATGGGGAGAAAAGGGATCTCCACAGTAAGAATAAGGATGATTTGACACTAAGCAGAAGTTTAGGACTTGGTGGTAGGTCTGCAATAGAACAAAGAAGCATGTCAATCAATTTGCCCATGTCTTGCCTCGATTCCATAGCCCTTGGATTTAACTTTGGTCGGGGACATGATCTTTCTCCTCTGGCTTCTGATATTCTAACCAATACTAGTGGAAGTATGGATGAAGAAGATGATTACCTTCCTGCCACAACACCTGCACTGGAGAAAGCCCCTTGCTTCCCAACAGAAAGCAAAGAGGAAGAAGAAAAGATACAGGAAGAAAAAGCTACAGGAGAGGAAAATATTCAAGCTGACACATCATGTGAGTCGCCTTTCCTAGCCAAAGATTATTATAAAAATGGGACTGTCATGGCCCCTGACTTGCCAGAAATGCTAGATCTGGCCGGCACGAGGTCAAGATTAGCTTCCGTTAGTGCAGATGCTGAGGTTGCAAGGAGGAAATCAGTCCCATCAGAGACTGTGATTGAGGAGAGTACTGGTTTGCCCCCAGTGACTGATGAAAACCATGTCATTGTAAAAACGGACAGTCAGCTGGAGGATCTGGGCTACTGCGTGTTCAATAAATACACAGTCCCACTCCCATCACCTGTTCAAGACAGTGAGAATTTATCAGGGGAGAGTGGTTCCTTTTATGAAGGCACTGATGATAAAGTTCGAAGAGATTTAGCCACAGACCTTTCTTTGATTGAAGTCAAACTGGCAGCTGCTGGAAGAGTCAAAGATGAGTTCAGCGCTGAGAAAGAAACATCCCCGCTTATGTCAGGACTGGGTAGGGAGCTTGATCAGGAAAAGAAAACAAATGATAAGCTGGATACTGTACTAGAAAAAAGTGAAGAACATGTTGATTCAAAAGAACATGCCAAGACAACAGAAGAGGCTACTGATAAAGTTGAAACATTTGAATTAGGAGTCACCGATGAACAACCTTTGGCCAAAGAACTGGCAGTATCAAAAGATACATTACCTCCCATGGCTGAGAAAACAGAGGAAAGTCTGAGCTCAGTACTAGAGGTAGCTGAGGTAGAACCATCCAAAAAAGCTGAACCAAAACTGGATTTTGCTGCAGAGAAAGCTGACCAGGGTCAATTAGATGTTGAAATCAGTGACTTTGGACAGACCACCGCGGAGCTAACCGTGGGTGCTGGAATGGGAATAGAGCTTAAACTCGAGGAAACCCAAAAGGACCTGGCTCCCTCGTCCAAAATGCCTCAGGAGGCAGATGCATTTATGGATGTTGAGTCTGGCCACATGAAAGAAGGCACCAAAGTGAGTGAGACAGAAGTCAAAGAGAAGGTGGCCAAGCCTGACTTGGTACACCAGGAGGCTGTAGACAAAGAGGAGTCCTATGAGTCTAGTGGTGAACATGAAAGCCTCACCATGGAGTCTTTGAAACCTGATGAGGGCAAGAAGGAAACATCCCCAGAGTCATCTCTAATTCAAGACGAGATTGCCATCAAACTCTCAGTGGAAATACCCTGTGCATCTGCTGTTTCAGAGACTGATTTAGCCACAGATGAAAGAGCCGATATCCAGATGGAATTTATTCAGCTGCCAAAAGAAGAAAGCAAAGAGACCCCAGATATATCTATCACGCCCTCGGATGTTACAGAGCCGTTGCTTGAAAGGGTTGTGTCTGAACCAGCAGAGGCTCAGAGTGAGGAAGAAGAGATAGAAGCCCAGGGAGAATACGATAAGCTGCTCTTTCGCTCAGATACCCTTCAGATTACCGACCTGGGTGTCCCAGGTGTCAGGGAAGAATTCGTGGAGACCTGCCCCGGTGAACACAAAGGAGTAATTGAGTCAGTTGTAACCATTGAGGATGATTTCATCACTGTAGTGCAAACCACAACCGATGAAGGGGAGTCTGGTTCTCACAGTGTACGTTTTGCAGCCCTAGAACAGCCTGAGGTGGAAAGGAGACCCTCTCCTCATGATGAAGAAGAAGTCGAAGTAGAAGAGGCAGCTGAAGCCCAGGCAGAACCCAAGGATGGCTCCCCAGAGGCTCCGGCTTCCCCTGAGAGAGAAGAGGTTGCACTCTCAGAATATAAGACAGAAACCTATGACGATTACAAAGATGAGACCACCATTGATGACTCCATCATGGATGCTGACAGCCTCTGGGTGGACACTCAAGGTGTGCATTATTTTTTTGTTTTTTAATTTCCTGCTCCCAAATGAAACCAATAACCAAGTAGGAAAAATACTTTCCCCCCAATATAACATTTTTAAATGTCCCTTTATTTCTTTATTTAGCATTTTGTTAAATATTTGAGAGATTTTGTGCATTTGTTACTAATGTTTTCGTTGTTGTTGTTGTCATGATTTGCTTTGATCCGCAGATGATGATAGGAGCATCATGACAGAACAGTTAGAAACTATTCCTAAAGAGGAGAAAGCTGAAAAGGAAGCTCGGAGATCATCTCTTGAGAAACATAGAAAAGAAAAGCCCTTTAAAACCGGGAGAGGCAGAATTTCCACTCCTGAAAGAAAAATAGCTAAAAAGGAACCTAGCACAGTCTCCAGAGATGAAGTGAGAAGGAAAAAAGGTTCATTTAACAATCACTTCTTTAAAAATGCTTTTAAAGTAATTCATTATTGTTCTTTTGTAGAAGAAACTGCCTAACAGTGGTAACTAATTATTTATGAAATTTCTTTCGGTTTTGCTCCAAGTGTTTATTTTTTCCTGATGGTATGCTTTTTGTGTTTTCTTATTCATAGCAGTTTATAAGAAAGCTGAACTTGGTAAAAAAACAGAAGTTCAGGCCCACTCTCCCTCCAGGAAATTCATTTTAAAACCTGCTATCAAATATACTAGACCAACTCATCTCTCCTGTGTTAAGCGGAAAACGACAGGTGACTGTTCAATTCTGCAATGTGGCTGGCAAACATAGACTTTTTTTTTTTATTATTTAATGTCATTGCTGTAGCAGCGTCTTCATTTTGTTTTTCTTCCAAGAATTCTCAGCGGTCATGAACAATTTCACTATTAAGTGTCTTGTATCAATCACTATCCCACCCCCCCAACCCCGCTCATATATTTCTGTCGTATTCAGACCTAACCAATGCGTGATTGTATCTTGGCATTGTGCTCTAGTGTCACGTTATGAGGATTCCTATTTTCATCCTGTGTTTTTGGTTAGTTGGTGGTGATGAGTTTAATTGTGGTATGCATTCTCATTATTTTGCTTTTTTGCCTCCCTCATGCTTAAGCCCATGTGTATTTCTCCTATTTTCTACATTGTTACTGCCAAATCTGTTACTGATGTTGATGAATTTACTAAAATTCACCAAGAATGCACAGTGATTTAGAGATTAAAAATGAAAAGCAAAATGGGGGTAAAATTGTGGTTTGCAAAATAACTCTTCTTTAGATGAAAATAAACAGAAGAAAAATGAGATTGGTAATCTCATCGGATTTTGTTCCTCATATCCAAAATTAGCAAGGCTTTCAATCACTGTACTACATCTCTTAGCTGACACTTTGACATTGGGATTGTCTTAAATGTGTTGAATCAAAACTGTCAGTTTTTCCTACATAATTCAGTATCAAATTCTAAAACTCCTCCCCACTAAGTATCTTCGATCCCAAGTTTGTTTCTATTTTGCTACCTTTTACTTCTCTGTCTTCTCCCAATTTTACTCATTTTTTACTTAGTAAAAAAGCGGTGGAATGAAGGAATGAAACATGTTACAAATTATTTGTATAATAAAAGCCCAGACAAATATCTATAATGCAAACTTTATTTCTAAATTTGAGAGTATTTATTTTATATGTATAATATTACTATATAATCTTAATTTATAATATATTTTACTTTGTCACTTATTAAGTGACAGGCTTGTAGTGTACAAAATAAGATATTGGTTTACTAATTCAGAAAGGAATTAACTTCATTTCCATTATGAATCATAAATGCCTCTCTGTAAATCTTTGGATGGTTTTAAAGGTTAAGAGCAGCATTAATCTTTGATGTGAGAGAAAGAAAATGAAGGTCATTGATGGTTTTGTGATAGCCACTAAAATTTAAAGTATTTTGTATTTGTGTTCTTCATATAGGAGTCATCTCATGTGCTGTCATTCAAGAACTGGTCTCTAAGGCAGGATTTGAAAGTGGAAGGCTTATACACAAACCTTGGTGATGAAGGTTCAGAATGAGGAATTCCTCTAAGTTAGGAGTTAGAAATTAACACCACGTCTCTAAATCTTTGGTTATGTCTTATTTAGTTCATTTGCTCAGGTTTTTAGCATCTGTAAACTTGGTATTTTTCTTCTAATTAGACAGATGTGTGGGCAAGCAGAAGAATATCTTGATTTAGGAATAAAAATCCTATATCCTACCTAAAAGGACTGAAAGATGGCATCAGGATTGTGGAATTTCAGAGGAAATGTCCAATGGTTTAATGTGGTGACTACATGACATTGATATTCAAATTACCAATTTTAATAGCCTTTTTAAATTCAATCTTTAAAGGAAATTAAGGTCTTTGGACTAATTAGTGTCTTCCCTTATTCTAGTCAAAGTTTAAGGTACGATTCTAGCAAAAACCTTATACTAAACATGGGAGTCATGAGTTTAAAGCAAACTATTTATTTCACAGAAATTTGAAATACACCATAGAAGCAGTAGGAAGACATCATTTGCACTGCTTCTTTGAAGGATCAGTTCTAGAATTTGTGAATAATCCTACTAGCCAGTCCTACATAACTTATACAGAGCATATTGAAGAGAGTTAATGTTTTTGTGTTAGTGCTGCACATGGTGTAAGAACTTTTTTGAAACTCATTTAGAGTGCTTGTAAGGATAAATAATTTATGCTGAAGTTTTCTCTCTTATGGTGGCTCAGTGATCAAAGCACTCGGCTGCTAACCAAAAGATCAGTAGTTCAAACCCACCAGCCACTCCATGAGAAAAACTTACGCTCCCATAAAGATTACTGCCTTGGAAACCCTATAGGGCAGTTCTACTCTGTCTTAATAGGGTTACTATGAGTTGGAATGGACTTGAAGGCAATGGGGTAGGTGGGGTAGACACACATGCTTGAATATTTTATTTTCTAAGTACAATAATATGGGTGGTTTTCAGAAACACAAAGGATTGTTTTAAATCATGAGAGATAGTTAAATCAAGTCAGGTAAGTCATCAACAGAAATATGCTAGAGATACCGGAGTTTAAAATTCAAACCGGAAGTATCAAACAGCAGCAAGAGAAACAACAGTAACAGATGTGGTAATAATTTCATACAGGAAGTGCATGTGTAGAACATGTTTGATATTACTGAACTGAAAACTCCTCTCGTGTTTTCTTTCCTTGACAAGCTATTTTTCTTCCCCTCTCTACTCATGGGGTGCATTTTTGCATTAAATGATTGTCATTTATTTTATGAAATGAAGGGGTGCGGAAGGAATGGGGTTGGCTGACCATGATAGCTTAGAATATAAGATGCCAAAATCATCTGCCGCTATGCCAATAGCTTACAGAACAAAAAGAGAGTTTGGGAGTCTCCATGGACACTTTTGCATATCATACCAAATCTAGAAGCCAATCAGTCCCCTTTTCCTTAAGTTCTACAGCTTACAAATTGCTGTTCTGTGAGTAACTTCCACTCCGCAAGGTCTATCCTCATGAGTAGTGATTCAAATATAACCTTGGTAGCCAAGAGAAAATTATTTGGTGTGCTTACCTGTGCTTGCTAAACACTTGGTTGTATTAATTAGCATACAACATGTGAGCCACATGCTGTTATGTTATACGGGTTTCTTTAGTTAATGAATTTGACTCTCAAAATAAGGAGGATTTTGCCTGTCATTAGCAACTGCATATCCAAAAGGTATTGAAAAATGCATTTATGTGGTCTTAACCGCTAAGTTTGGGGTTGTTTGTTTTGTGTCTTTCCTTTTCAACAGCAGCGGGTGGTGAATCAACTCAGGCTCCCGGTGTATTTAAACAGGCAAAGGACAAAGTCTCCGTGAGTAAAATAAGCTTTTCCTTTTCCTTCATTTGAAGTTCCTTTCTGTATTATTTGCAGATTTAATTTGAGGTATAATTTAGACTTTAGATGTTTACTCTTAATGTCATTTTAAATCTTTCAAACACCCAGAATGATTCTCTGTGACATCCCGGCATGTATTAACGCTTTCTGGAACGACACACGATGGTAGTTGGTAAGGGCAGAGTCGGAGTGCAGGCTGTGCCTTTATTAGAAAGACAAAAACACATGAAATAGCACGGTGATCTGGCAAAAATTAGGGAGCTCACTTTACTTACTTCTCAAAGCATGAAGTTAAACGGTTATCATTTACACTAAACTATGTTTTATTAGGCATTTTAACTGTTTTTTATTAAAAATAATACAGTGACAAAATGGCTTGAAGTCATTTAGATTGCAATAATTTAACGAATCAAAAGTAAAAAAAAAAAAAATCAGTTATAATTCCCATATTTAAAGATAACTGCAGTTATCATTTAGATGTAAAATATCCTAGGGGTTTTTTTTTATACATCTCTATATGTTTAATAACAAAAATGGAACCATATACTGTGTGAATTTTATTAAACAATAAACATACTTCCATGCCATAAAGAAATCTTGTACATTATTCAATGACTATATATTTTATTTATCTGCAAAAATATACTGAAATCAGTTGTTATTAGACTTTCAAACATCTTTGTTGTTGTTTTAACAATTTAACTCTAGAAATCCTTTCAGCTAAACCCATAAATACATCTCTACACATTGCCTTAGGATAATTTGCTAGTAGTAAAATAATTGTTTGTAAAACAATATCCATATTTAGTTTTTGTTACATGTGCCAAATTGCCCTCCAAAAGGGTTCTATTCACTTATACTTCTTCTAAATGTATATGAGAGTTGTCATTATTATTGCTAAATATTCCTATATTCTTTTCTATATCAGCCAAATTATGGAAATGAAATACTGTCTTGTTTTAATTTTGTTTTTATTAATGATGTTGAATTTCTTCATATGTCTATACATCCTTTATATTCCTTTTGTTAATTTTATTTTTTGTTATTAACCCTATTTTAAAGAACTTCATCTGACAGGATACAGTCATTATCAAGTATTTTTACTCCTTTATGATTGACAGAAAAAAATTAAATTCTAAAATTACAACAAATAATTTTAATGATGTCAGTCAGTAGCTTATTACAGTATTCCAAGTCTCAGCCATCACATCTGATATGTAAATTGCAATTTTTTTGTTTGGCCTTCTAAAAACTGGTGAGATTTTAGGCTTCCATTTTTTATTTTTTGTGAAAAATAATGATTTATTTCCAATCTTTTATATCATCTTTAACTTGACAGGCTTTACATTGATAAAAGAAAGTATTTGGTTTTTATTTAAGTGTTTTCAGACATATTCCTGAACAGATGGCAAACAATAGAATCTATTTCTTGCTTTGATAAATCTTAGACTTTATTTTGAGCACAATGTGTTTTCAAGATTTGTGTCTCTTTACCTCTGTTTCTAATGGGGAAGTAGCAAGTTGCGGTGGTTAGGAGCAGGGCTATGAACAGACCAGATCTAAATCCTGAATGTTTATTAGCTATATGATCCTTAACTTCTTGTGCTTTAATTTTCAAAAATAAGTGGGTTAAAATTCCTGTATTATGTTAGTTATGAAAATTAAATATAGTAACTCCATAAAACAGTACACAGTATCACATAGTACTCATTCAATAAATAGTGATACTTGTTGCTGTTATTGCTATTATTACAGGCAGTCCCTGGGTTATGAACATCTGATTTAGGGGTAACTTGTACTTGCCCTCTAATGTTAAGTAAATTTACCCTCACTTTGAAACGATTGAACCAACCCCTACTGGAAACAAATTCTTCATCACAGTCACCTTCAATTGCTGCAAGTGCAGCTTTTAAATCATTGAAAAGGCTTCGAGCCTTTTCATGCACCAAAGTAAGACTAAATAAGAACCATATGCCCCTGTTCCGACTAACCTACACATTTGACTCAAAGAAACAGGAATGGATCTTGTTCATAACCCAGCGGCTACCTTATTTGGAAGGTGAAAGTCTTCAGGAGCAGATATAAAAAGTAAGTCTGAGCTTTGTCCTTTAGGAAAAGAATTTTTAAGTGGACATTGTTTGGAAAATCTTTAGGAAATTTCCAAGTCCCTTGGTTTTCCAGTAAACCAACAAGAATCAACATTTAATGCTTACACTTAGAAACCATATACATTTCCTGATACAAAGCTAACTTTTTCCTTTTGTCAGTGCCCACGTAGACTTTCTGAAGGCGAGAGGTTACACCATCATTCTCTTTTTTTCCCTCATTTATTATCCTCCTCTTTTCCTTCCTAATACTTCATCCTCTTCCTATATGTTTCCTAAAAACCCTAAGGTTAACTCTTACTTGATTTATCTCTGGTATTCAGTACATCCAGAGTAGTTCTCCCTGATTTTTTTAACTGATCTTTATTATTATGAACCTGACCTATTCACAATCCTTTCTTTCTTTTTTTCTTTTGGTTTGGTTGATTTTTTTTTGTTTGTTTTTTATCATGGCATTAGTTATGTTCTGTAATATGAGGCAATCCAATTGCTCCATTATTTTTCCTAAGTCACGTTCTTTGATTTTCAGCCTTTTGTGGGTGGGATCAATCAAAAGAAAATGACTTGTGCTGACCCCATAACACTTCCCACTCAAGATGCTGAGTATCTAAAGTAAGAATTGATGTGTGCAATCTGTGAGTGCTTCTGACTCTGCTGAAGTGGATTTGAAGGTTAAAAATTGAGATAAAATCTCAGTTTCAACTGCTGTTTTTGTGACAGCCAAATTATATTATTTGTTTATAAATATCCCCTTGACTTTCTCATACTTGTCTGTATTTTTAACAGAGTGCCCCATGACATGTAGCATGCCATCATAGCTTTCTCCAAAAAGCCATACATCCAACCCACTTACTTGTAGACAGTCTCCTCAGGAGTTATCAACACCTATAAATTAAGTCTTGTGATGTTTACGGGCAATCTTTTTGGTGCTGACTTTCATTTTTAGAATTTATAACACATCATACTGGCTATAGTCTGTGCATAAAAATGTTATTAATTCTAGAATATAACTTGGTCCCAGTATCCATTTTACTCATCAAATGGACTCATTATATATAAGCTCTACAGTTGTCTGATGAAAGACAATGTAGATTGTCTTAAAAGAAATTTTCTCAGTCTTTAAAAAAAAAATTCCCCATTTTTAGGCCTCAAACATATGTTGTTCTAAAATTCTTGAAATATTATCAATATATGAATTATGTACATACCTTAAGGGTTGTGTTTATTAGAGAAACAATTCTGAGAAACTCTCAAGATATGTTCCAAATACAGTACCATTGTAGACCAATGGAATAATTAAAGATCTTATACACAGAAATCCATAAAAAACATTTTATCCATACTGGTATTAAATTAGATAATTAAATATCAAATTTCAATTAAAACTTAAAAATTTAGTCACCAAGCATTATCTTTTTTACTAGAAAAAAAGATTTTAATCATCACCTTGCTAACTTCCGTTTGTAATATTTCTAATACTCTTCCATCTTAAGGCTTATTTTATAAAATGTGGTTTTTATTGATAACACATCCTTGAAAAGTGGAATTCAATATTTGGGGCCATTATTTTGATTTCTCATCATGGAGTGATTTCAGTTTCTACAAGAGTACTTGGAAAAACTTTGGAATTTGCAAAGAGTTGGCCATGGTGCTAAACCTCACTTAAACTCATCAGAATGTGATAAGGCACCCTCTGAGGAGCTTATCTCCCCTCTCCCCCAGAAGGCACAGAAGCAAGAGTGAATGTAATATTCACTTTTAAAGTAAACGCACTGAAAATAGTATATATTAGGAGTATATATCTAAATATATGACTATGTATTGGATATCAATATACATTGTGGGAATTGTTTCCAAAAACTTTCTGTAATTGGAGCCTCAGAATAACCCAAGCTTATTGCAGAGATAAGAACATCTTGAAATTGTGTTCTCTTCGTGAGCAATTCACCTCTGAAGAAAAGTGGCCACCTCAGCCTAAGAGGGCTTATAGTGACTGTTCACCCAAAGTAGTCCACACCAAAGAGGTGTGCTCATATTTTTTTCTGCTTCTGTCCCAAACTCTGGCTCTAGACTTTAACAGTGGGAGGTTTCAGCACTACCCTGCTTCTTCCCAGAAAGGGTCTCTCCTGCCCCTCTTTCAGAGGCTAAATTACAGCATTAATACTTTCAGTCATGTCTTCTATGTCTCTGTGTGCACTTATAAACTTACAGATTCCTGTATCGAACCATCCATTTGGTCTCAGAATTTCACAAAGCCAATTCCTCCATATTTAAGCAATGTTATTCATTCTTCCATCCTTCCATCCATCCTTCTATCCATCCATCCACCCACCATTTACTCAATAAATATTCATCGTGCCACTGCTATGTACTAAGCATAAACAATCACAACACTTGTAAGTAAAGGAGATCAAATAACATGGAAACCTGGTCTAGACCTGATTAATGTAAGGTCAGATCATTTAGCATTCGTTTTATTTTTATGTATGGCATACATTTGTATATGAGTATTCTTAAGTTAGTTCCAGTTAAAAGGAGGTGTTCAATGAAAGTGTCTTGTTCTCACATAGATGTACATCTCTATCATTAATTATAACCATTTATCATGTATTCTTATTAAAGTTAAACATTTAATTTCTTATATGTTTATGCTTCTTTTTATTTTATTTTTACTTTATAGTTTGGTTTATGTTGTGCTTTTGTTTGTTTTCTTTCACGGCTAGAATTCTACCTTGTCAAAGATTCCTGCCTTACAGGGTAGCACAAAGTCCCCAAGATACAGCTCAGCCTGCCCTAGTACGACTAAAAGGGCTACATTTTCTGACAGTTTTTTAATGCAGCCCAACTCAGCGGGCTCTACAGACCATTTGCCATACTCAGAATCAGGGAACAAGGTAAGGCAGCAGGTCAATAAAAGGTGCAGAAAGGAATATAATTTGGGAGAAGTTTATAGGACAAGATTCAGGAAATGTATGAAAGCAAAAACTTAAAGTTCTAAAGTGTATGAGACATAAACAATAGACCGTATTAGAAACAAATACAAATTAAAAGTTTCAATAATTATTAACAACCTAACCAGTAAAAAAATCATATAGAAAATATCTCTCTATATCTGGATATACTATCCAAGATTAATTTATTACTAGTTTTATTATCTCATGAAATTTTAAATATAAACTAAAAGAACAAATTATATTATATATGCTATGTAGTATATTTTATTATATATCATATTATATATAATCAAATAATAACAAATTACATTATATATAATAAATAGTTTGGACTTGGACCTTTGAGAAAATATGATCTCTAAGTTATGAAGTAGAAATGCTTATAAGTATATAAAATTTGTTAGTGTGTTTTAAAATTAATTCATCCATCATAGTGGAGGAAAAAAAAGTCAGAGCAATGTAATCACTTTATAGAATTAAAATAAAGATTCATAAGAACACAACGTCTTCCTTTTCCTCAATCAGGATGGAGCTACCAGGAGCCCAGAAAAGCGTTCTTCTTTGCCAAGACCTTCCTCCATTCTCCCTCCTCGCCGAGGTGTATCAGGAGACAGAGATGAGAATTCTTTCTCTCTCAACAGTTCCATCTCCTCTTCAGCACGACGGACCACCAGTAGGTTTATTTTAATTTGTCTTGTTTTTTTTTTTTTTTTAAGCCTTAAGTGGAATAGAAATTATTATGTTTTTGTCTTTTATATCATTCAAATAAAACATGCATTCAAAATAGATCATATTTATCCTAAGTTTCAGAAAATCTAGACTATAGATGGGTCCCAAGTGCCTAACTCCTCCAATGTTAGAGGAAAGGACCTCTATCATATCATATCACCCTATTATTTATTAAATTGTTGTTGTTAGCTGCTGTCAAGTTGGCCACCAAATCATGGCAACCCCATGTACAAGACAACAGGATCGGACCATTGTGATCCATAGGGTTTTCATTGGCTGATTTTCTGAAGTAGATTGCCAGGCCTTTCTTCTTAGTTTGTCAGTCTGGAAACTGCTGAAGCATGTTCAGCATCATAGAAACATGCAAGCCTCCAATGACAGACAAATGGCGACTGTACTTGAGTATACTGGCCCAGAATTGAACCACTGCACCACCACTCCCCTCATTCATTCAATAAGATTAAGTAATTGTTCTCAGAATATATGTTCTCTATTGTTTCAAAATTTAGGGCAAAAAAGAAAATTCTAAAGACGTAATTAATAGAAATAACTAGTAGTCAGGGATTTTTTAAATATATATCAATATAGGCTTAAGTCTTACTAGAATTCCAAGTTCTAAAATCAAACTGGAGAGTCAACAATCAAAACCTAGCATTCTGGTCAACTTGTTGAGACTACATTCCAAATGAAGCTGCAGATGTAGCATATTCTGTGCAATAGCTTATGTTTCTTTTGATTGATGGCCCATGATGAACTGGTTGGCAATTATTTTTACAGTTTATATAGGGGATATAAAAAAATTCTAGTCATTGCCCACTTATATGTCAGGTTACTACTAAGTCTGTAGTAAAACATAGCTTCAAATTATTTTCATAAGTAATTTACTATCACAACAAAAATAGCTACCATTTATTGAGCACACGGGGTTGCCATGAGTCAGAATCAACTCAACAACAACTAACAACAAACTGAGCACATATAGATGCTAAATTCTTAAGGTACATTATTTCACTCACTTTAACAGTGCTGAAGGCTAAATATGAATAACCTCATTCGATCTATTGATGAGAAATACTGATTTTTAGAGAGGTTAACTAACTTGTCCAATACTATGCAAATAGAAAATGGTTGAATTTGTTTTTCAGCCCTCTGATAACTTCAAAACCTGTGCTCTTAATGCCTTCTCTACATTTGTTTGGAGGCAATACTACTAGAGAACCTCTCTGTAGAATTACTTGGAGAGTAATGTCTTTGTCATTTAAGAATTAGTACAAAATGATGAGAATCACTACCATTGTCACATTACAGTTAATTCCACGATTTCTTTTTTAAAAATATTTAAACACCTGGCCTACTTTAAATGTGACTATTTTGCATGACACTTAAACAGTGTTTCTTGCTTACAGTGAAAGCATTTGTTAAAATTAGAGTGATTGTACTCTACAGTGTTTAGTTTCATAGAGTATTAGCATCCCTTTAAATACGAACTAAGAATATTTTGAAATCACTGAAACTGTTTTTACCTTAGAAAAAT